AAGCATTAATCTTTCCGAATTTTGATTCGCTATCTTTAATCTTAAGTTCCAGAACAGTGAGTTTCCCTGCTACTAAACCTGAAAGCTGTTACTCCAAAATTGTAACCGTAAGAAATCACAGACAAAATGTCCCGTAAAGTTTTATTATAAGTATCGATTGCTGATCCGACATCGAGTTGGTTAAAGAATGGTTCGAAGGCAGTCGCTATCATGAATGAGTCTGCCTGATAAAGGGAAATACCTGTAGAAATCAAACTGTGGAAAATAAATGTGACGGGGGCGAGTGAGGTGAGCGGGACGGGGGCGCGGAGTGCGGGGGGCTCGGCGACGAATCGTTCGGTAAATCGGATCGGTGCGGGCGCGGATTTGTCGTTCTCCTATGACATTTGTTACTTCGCTACCTTCACTACTTTATTTGTCATTGTCACGGCGTACGGTTTCTTTGCTTCGTCAGTTTTTCTTACTGTTTCTTTTTTCCTTATTTCTTTTAGAGCTTTGTGAATCACATTTCATATGTAACTTGACTGAGTCAAATGTTCCTGTCTCCGCGCCATTTATTGCCTCTGTTCAACTTTATGTCGCACGATATAGTTTTAAAGTACGACGTAAATATTTGTAACGACCGATTGCTTCGCCTCATTTCCGACTTTGTTGTAAATGAGTTACAGCTTTAAATCAAGATTGTGATATCGCTTTATGTGTATTCTTAATCATGAACAGGCATCTAAATGACTGTTTATTACTGTTTTACAATCTCCGTTATAATATTATCAAGATGGATGCTACAGAGACACAGCTCCGCGCGCCACAGCCTTCACTCATATAATGTAATCGTAATTTAGTAAGACGGGAAACAATTTATTCGAGTTTACATTTTATTGATTGTTAAATGAGACGACTTGTTCGAGTGCAAGTGTTAGGAGAGCGGAGCGAGTCGTTGAAACAAATTGAATTTTTAAAAAGAGCTTTTTGAAACAAACAAGCGGAGATCAAAGCGAAAAAGAAGATTACTGGCCAAATGAAAGCAATTTATAAGGCTAGATAAACATGCCGTTAAACGAAATAGGGGAGCTGTATCTTTTTACACAGTTGAGCGAGTGCGAACAAAGTGCGCGCTGTGCGTGGACTCGGACCTCGGCCGCTGAGCCGCTGTGCGCCTTATCGCGATACATTTCTCCCGCCACTGTTTGTTGCTGCTCTCATGTGCTGTGCGCGCACGGACTACGCCGACTCGTCCTTTCGCTACATTAACAGATTTCAGATCACAAATATACTTAAGGCAGTATGTAACTACCTACGTTATTATAATTGCTCACAATGTACGTAATTATCTTTCATCTTAGTACGACTATTAGCACAACATAGTGAACAGATATTGTTTATACATCTGAACATTAATCTTTACATCTCAGTACAATAAATTGTCGAGGCAATGAAAGTAAATAAGATTAACTCAAAATAATATCACGACTGTAATAAAGGAGACAGTTTATGATCGGCGCGCCGACGACGCCACAAATCACTAATAACTCGACTCGGTGATAAATTTAAGTAAATGAATCAACGAGGCGTGGGCTTCAATACACAGTACTTTAGAAGTTCTTCAAACTCCAATGTTCAGGAGATCCAGAAATTGATAAAATAATTCATATTTAATACAAATGATAAATGCTGATGATACAAACTGATTGGTTCCGTTGATACGGCAGGAATTTTTCAAAAGGACATCAATATCTACATACAATGAATATTTTCTCGAAAGGCAACACTTTCCTAGAATTACCACAATGATACCGTGGGTACTAAACATATCGTTATCATTAATTACAATTAATTTATTAAATTGGTATGATATAATTATATATTTATATACTAGCGACCCGCCCCGGCTTCGCACGGGTGCAATATATTATGTATTATACATATAAACTTTCCTTAAGAATCACTCTATCTATTAAAAAAACACATCAAAATCCGTTGCGTAGTTTTAAAGATCTAAGCATATATACATAGGGACAGACAGACGGCAGATAGCGACTTTGTTTTATACTATAAATAAATATATAGTGATAGTGATTTTACAAAGACTTTACCTGTGCTATGACGAGGTTTTTAAAGTGCCGTCTCTTCCTGGGACTTCAATTTGTACTTGACCGTAATTTACGTGTAAAGTATTAACCCCTGAGAACCGTAACAGGCTGTGATACAGAGATGACAGACCTGTTTGAAATCTGTTACCAAAATATACGTGGCGCAATAGCAAAACGCGAAATCATCAAACTGTATGCGTGTATAACTTCCACAAACGACAACAAGCGACTCGGGAAAATTAAAGGGCGGCCCGCAAATGTCGCGTGCAAGTGGTGACGCGCCCAGCATACGCTGGCCTCTCACACATCTCCGCGCTCCATCCGCGGCTGCCATTAACAGACGAGCTTAATGAACGGCCTGGGCTCTTAGCAGATTGGTTGAGGTAAATTTTCTTAACAGCCCAGTTGTTGCCACACGCCAGTCCTAAACACACACACCCTCTGCGGACAGATAATTTGTCCAAACTTGTGCGGTGTTAAAGTTTCCGCTTGCATAGTTTCTTTATCAGTTTATATCACAGCCCCAAGTTTAGCGGTGACTCGGTGACGAGCCGAGGGACCGTCCTCGCTACACTGTTATTGTTTGTTGGCTCAATCTAATGTGTGCTGTAAACCATTACGCATATTATAAGCATTCAGTATCTATTCATTTACATATAGCTGAATACATTCTTCAATATCTATATAAAATAAATAGTTGCTTGCTTCTTGCTCACACCATTAACTCTTCTCTGCATCACCCAAAGGTCAGACTGGGAGAAAATGCCTGCTGCATTAAGTCCACCTTATGTACATTTTGTGCATGAAGCTTACAAATAAATAAATAAATAAATATCATAAAGTTGAGTAATATAATGTAGTAGGTAACCTACTGACTATCAACGTTGACTCCCGAAGAAGAAGAATATCAATTACTATCATAAAATGGAACAACTCGGTTTTAAATATTCAACACAAGTCGAAATGCAATGACAGATTGCAATTACATAACATTATTCAGACATAGGTACGTCGTATAGTATCTGTGGCGCAGCTTCACAATCACCAATTTTGACTGGTTGAAGAGTGACGTGGGTCACTTTATAAAGTGGAGGCGTGCCTACCTACATGAAAAGTGTCATATTTCACGTTAAGAATTAACGTTTATAAAACCATACCTTTGTTTTAATTTCTCACAACTATCTGGTCTATCAATAACAACAACCCGCGACTCGACTCAATGGCGGTCACGAAGCTAGCGTAGCATCGCGTCGGCACGGGAACTATGCTCACCACTCGCCGCCGCCCGCCGCCCGCCGCCGCGGCCGCACTATGTCGGTGGGAAACCATCGACACGAGGACCAACTTACTCTTTATGTTTAACCCTTCAACCTCTTTGGGGCGCTGAATAATTTTATTGTGTTACTTGTTGTTTGCCGCTTATTTTATACGTACTTCGTAATCTGTCGTGAATTTACACGTTACTGTTGTTACCGTTTGTGCTGGACAAGTTTAACTTTATCACGTGTGGTCCCCCACTGTGCCTAATTCACAGTGCTGATGAAGTACTGCGAACGTCTACTCATCAAAAGGCCGCCATTAATGTTTGTCATTTGTGTTTGCTGGAAGAGTAACAGTTCCATCTATTCAATAATTAAGTAAGTAAGCAAAAAAAGTTTACAAATTGCAATGGGGCATTGTAACATTCAATGATAACGATTGCACTTTTGGTAATTAGGTTTATGATATTATCTTGCCATACTCGAGTCTATAATGTTTACTATACTTACAAGTTGCAACTTAAACATTGCGTCGCGTTGTTTGTGATTTATAGGCTGGTGTTTGGCAGCGGCTGCCCCCGGCCCCCGGCCCCCGCCGTCGGCTCTGTCATATCTTTATTGTTCTAATCTCCGCTGTTTATACAAACTACTCCACCATTTAAAGATTATGAACTACGTAGATAAGACTCCCCTTTCATATCGTCGCCATAAATATTAAGTTTTCATGATTTTCAACTTTCACTTGATTAACTAGAAATCATATTATTATAGCAATGTTGAGAAAATATCTAAAATCAGACGAATCTAAGGAGCTGCTCGAGACTTCAGTAAACATTGCATTATTGAGGTCAGTGCGATACCAGTCGAAAGTATAATCACCACTTAGGAGACACAAACGTGACACCCATGCCGATATATCTCAGTAGTTCAGTACCCGCGAGCTGGGCTCGGCAACTATCCTAATACTTCACAATTGCAATTTTCAGAGTGACACTGATCCAAGTTTGGTCGTGAGACAAATTGGAGCAAGTTCCAGGCCCGAAGTGATTACATTAGAACATCACGCGTCACCTCGACTCCAATTTGAAGGGTCCAAACTATTTGTCCCAATCGAAACCCATTTGGAATTCAGATGGAATCGAAACGTCTAATTGCTTTCGGTTCAGCTCTTCGCATACTAATCTGTGACTGTGGTTGCTCTCCCATATAGTACGTGTGCCACCGCGCCACCGCGCCACCGCGCCGACGATTACATTTACTCGTTCATTTATAGCCGAAGACTCACTTCTAGTCTAGATACCAACTTACACGTCGTCTGTACCACCTTCATTAAATTAAACCTTATTGATTCCATACATACGAAGTAACATAACATCATGCCTTTTTTCCTGAAGGGGTAGGCAGAGCCATTGTACAATGGCAATAAGTGACGTAATGTTAACGTCTGCTAGTGGATATTACACTGTACAATGTAATCTCCACTTTTTACTATAAATATTATGGGTATTTTTTTAATAACCTAGTAACACACATACTTCGTTGTGTATATCTCTATACGTACTTAGATAGCGATAGAGCGCACGTTTGCATTTGAACGTGTAAAATATCACAGTTACATACACAAAACTTATATTTTGTAACTGTACTTAGATTAGTTACAAAAACTTTTAGGAAATATACCTTGAACTTTCCGGTTACGATCTTGTTTCAAATAAATATAAAGGAGAGTTTTAATCAGTGTCGCGGAACAAGCAAGTAATAACAGTAAATATCCGCAGCCGCAGTGCGGGCTGCAATTTTTTCCAAGTTCAATATTTATGATCGCGAAACATCGGCACTCGGTATTGGTGTCGCCAACTCGCAAGTGGGTGACCGCTCGGCACTCGGCTCTCGGCGCTCGGCGACAATTCATAAAGCGGAGGAGCAGGTTCAGTTCACACCCTTGCCCCCACTTCTTCTGTTCTCCCCTTCGCAACTTTTCCCAATTCCACCACAAACTGTAAATAAAGCAAACGATCCGATAACGTGGCCGCTCCAATTTGGTGCGCGGACGAAGGGATATTTCACTTTCGTTTCGGCGGTACCAAGCTATTTACATTTCGCGCCACTGGTAATATTTACGCCTTCATTCCAGTCAAATTGAAATGGATTAAACAAGGTCACGCCAATTCTGAATGCTATAGGGAAATTTAATGTTGCTACAAACAGTTGTATTTAGCAGTAAGACTTTCCATTACACATTGATTACTTGATCTCCTGACTATTGTAACTGCTACCTACTTATTAGCATAGTGAGTAGCTAAAAGTAATGTTTTTATAGTATTCCACTTGTTACACATAAACAAGTTCCCGTAGTATTTAATTTGGCAAATTGACTATAACTAAGTATGGCACTCGTTTTTCTATTATGCAATGTTATTGTGGAAGAGTTATAAACTCAGAGCTACGCCATACGCCAACAAAGTCGAATACGAACATAATTTTAATACTTCTCCGAAGATTTCCCTTGACACTCGTCGACCTTCCTTAACGATTAGACAAACTTAAAGTTAAACAAAAATGTTCTTTGGACAAAGCTCAGCTGCGAGGGAGCCATGATGCTGCTCAATTATTCAAAACAGTACGAGATTAAATTAAAAAAATATAAACTGTCAGCGCTGGAGGGTGTCTTCAACTCGCCATTTGACGAAGCACAAAAGTTTAAATTAAATTTATAGTGGCGAGCGAGCTGTGATAGATGTGCCAGTGAGCCACGGCGCTCCGGTATAGCTCCGGCACGGCTCCGGACGCACGGTGCGCGGCCGTGGCGCGATGCTACAACGCGCTGCTAAATAACGACAATCTAGTTTTAATTACAGCTATTTATCTCCGCTCCGATGTTGCAGATTGCGTCGCCGATGGACCAATTTTGTATGCTCCTAACGTATTAATCATAACACTTAGGTACGTTCTTATGTATAAGACAATACGATTCATGTTTTCAAAAAGTTCGAAACAATGCGGTGCTTGAGAAAACGATCACGTCGCCTGCACCTCTGCGACCAATGATTAAATATTCACAGAGTCAAGCAGAGTATGCATTTAAAATCACACTCAAAAGACGTATCAAAAGTAAATGTCCTCATTAAACTTCGAAACGCTCTTTTCAATCCTGTAAATATTGTATTATTATTAAAATTTTATGAAATCCAATTATGAAGTCGTAATTTTAAAGTGAACCGTAGGTAATAGCTGTCGTAAATAAAGATAATAAAACGTTTGAAATGACCATTTAGATGTGTACAGCAGTGATAAGAACGGGCCCATTAGAAGCGCAGTGCCATATTAGATCGGAATGCTTGTGATGAGTCGTTATCTCGGATATCTTTTAATTTTATTATGAGTGCTTTATTACAAAGGCTCGTAATGCATGTCATGGCTCAAGTGGCGGAGCGGTTTTTGTGGCAGTCGGCGCTTGCGGCCGGCACTCCATATTTAATGACTCTATTAAAGAGATTAATAGCGTCTATCGCTTAAAAAACATCCGTTGTTTTTTCATTCTTTACAAATTTAATTAATGTCGATATGGATCTTTTAACCGGACTTGGCTTTTGGAACCTAACCATTATTGGCCTCGGCTTGTACTTTTTGTTTCGTTTCATCCTGATTTATTTCTTTAATTGCCTTAACAACAGGTTGTATTGGTAGATTTGATTGTCGCACGTATATACACACGAACTTTGTTCGTAAAATAACAAGATGATCGTGTTCATTTTTGAATGGAACTTAAGTACCTATGAGCGGCACTTCCCTCTGGCCCTAAGTTGCGTCGCAAATATTTAGATCGTGAAGTAGAGCGGGGCGACCGAGGGTCTCGCTCAACTCTGATCATTACCAACGCTCAACGTTTTATATCAAAATGACATTAGCAAACAGAACCGCGTTCGCAAATTGAAAGCTCTCTTGCATCAATTTACATTTGTTTAGATTGAATTACGCAGTATTATACTTTGTCTCCGTACTCCGTACGACTGACGATGTAAATTCGTCGTTAGCTTTAGCTTGAATTCGCATTAAAAGATGAGACAGCGTAAGTTGAAGTTAAACCGGTGTTCCGATTCAGTGTCTGAGTACGGGTGTCGGGGGTGAGCGACTAACTGGATTGCCATCCCCTCCCTCCTTCCGCGCGAGCTAGCGCCCAATTTGGCGGCTTGCTGGGGCCTGCACGTTTTTGCACGCATCCCCTTAATATGGACCTTCCGACAAACTCGCAACTACCGGCTATAAAACATGCCCCGGCACGCTGTGTAACTTGATTGCGATGAAAAAAACTTCACCAATAAAAGCACCAGTTCGATTCTCGAAATCGTTCCCAAAGCAAGGGAAAGGTTAATGATCTACAACTTTCTGCTCAGTTGTCCTTTTTAGTACCGTTAATTAAATTTGTATGCAACGTGAGAATTTCTACGTTTTTTTATTAATGTTTCTAAGTAGGTAAGTACATGGTCTGCTTCGTATGCATTGTATAAATGAAGTCGTTGACGAGAAAAAATTAAAACCTTAAATTTTCCTGAAATATCTGCAAAAATACCTACCTAGCAGAAGAAATAAGAAATTAGTTATAATAACAATAAAAAATTAAAAGACCAATAAGGAAAGCTCACCATTGAAGAATCCTCAAGTTCCGTAGCGTTGGTTTGGTCGGCGCACGCCCGCTTGTCTGCGGAGCCGCGGTGACTTGATCCGCTGAGCGAACGCGGAGCGACCACTCAGTGGCGTACTGCCTGCCGAGCTGACGGTACGTCCTTACGCTGTCCGCGCGCGAACACAACGAATTCAAACACGATACACGCGTCTACAAATACGACGACACAACATTCGCTGATTGTAAAGTTTTTTATTTCATTCGTTGTTTCTTGGACCTTGTGCAGTTTTTATATTTGTGTTTTCTTTGTCAAAATCGTACCTAAATAGATAGGTAGTTATTAGATTTCATTAAGACCAAATAAGTAGAAGATGGTACCGTGAAAAGCTGTGAGGTGGACGTATCTATCGTGAGTACAATGTATCGCTTTGAAGGAGACTCAGTCGAAACTGGACTATGAGAATATCAAAGACAATGCCGTCGATATTTCATTCAAAGAGTATATGCTGTTCATGAGATATAAACAGAACAAAATGATTTTGAAAATCGGAGGGAAATCCCCGCCGGGCGCGAAGACTGCCTCAGACAAAGAGGTAAAGAAGGAGGAGAAGAAAGAACCGAAAAAGAAATGGGAGAAGTGTGAGGAGAGATGTCCGGGGGACCCGTGGGCGTACTGTGTGGTGTTATGGTGTGCGTGTGCCATGAGCCTGATCTCGAGCGGCTACAGCCTGTATAAGCAGCAGGCGCTGACGGAGCGGCTGTCGCTGCTGGAGGAGCAGCACCTGGCGCTGCGCAGCGCCGTGTTGGAGCCGCAGCAGCCGCTGGTCGAACGCCTGCGCCGCGAGGTGTTGGCGCGTCCGCCTGCATACTGGCGGCCTCGCAGGAGCATCCGCGACTACGGGGACTGTGTCTGTCCACCAGGTGAGCAACCGCCACTCGCACATACCAGCCTACACCAGCCCACATATGGAACCTTTCACGATACAGAAACAAAGACGAGGGACGGTTATTTTTACTTAAGGAAGTCTGACTAGGTATCGACGAAATTAAAGTGGATACCTAGCTTCGACAAGATAGTCTTTACTCAATTCCTAGATAAAGGTTTAATTCAACCTAACTCAGCATCCATTCATATACCTACCTACAAGATTTACCACCATAGGTAGACAGACACCCTACTAGAGTATGACCATGGCCGACTTCTAATTAACTTCCTTCACCGAAAGTAGTTGTGTAGAGACGGAACTATGATGGTGGATTGTTATGATGCATTGTTGTACCTACGTAAGTACCTCCAATACCTATCAGACAAATACAATATATCATAAACCTATTTAACTACTTCTAAAACAAAGTCCAAGTGAAGACATTTAGGTTATTCATGTTTCATATTTTTTGTGCACATTTTCTTCCCTTTCCAATGGGTTTCATTCTACTACTATTTAACAATGTTTCTAACTTCATAAATATTTACAACTTAAAATTAACTACAACTAAACTATTAAATAAAATGAAAGTAAAAAAGGGAAACAACAAAAATGATACCCTGGTCCAAAATAAATTTTGTTTGTATACTCCAGCCAGAGCCTATTAAATCTAAATACATCTTTGTTTGATACAAATGGTTTCAATAAATTTTGTAATAAGCTTCCAAAGTTTAATTTTCATTCACACGTCTGAAATTTTTCAATTTCTTAATTAATTAGAAAATAAATAAAATAAGTTACTAAGTTTTATATTAAAAAAATCCTTGGTTAATAACGTTCTAGTATGACATAAGTTACAGAAATTAATAATTAACTATGTTGGTTACACACAACAATAGAGCCAACTAGTTACACGTAAAAACTAAAAAACTGATAGGTTGCCGACCCACTGATAGGTAGGAAGTCTGTGCCACAAGTTCTGAACAAAATTATTTATTTTGGACCACTACTACCTACAAACAAAAAAGGAATTTTGAGTTATAGGAAATATTTTGAGAAAGTTTTGTTTTTTATAAAAACATATCTGACCAGCCGTGATAATTGGAACAAAGGGTTTATGGGTAAAAGGTGGCTAATAACCTCCCTAATCCCTGAAAAATTGATTCGGTCCATACGCCAAACACCCTGTTACCCAAAATCGCGTTTAGATGCTAACACTGTTTAGGAGCTTTTAAATACCTAGATATGTGGCATACCCATTGACTATTTGTTCCTCACAATTATCTAGTCTCAAAATAACTTATCTCCAGACACTTAAGACTTATAAAGTAGAATTAGCACCTATGGTATTTATATTATAATTTCAATCCAATAATTTCACTCCACTTCTACCTACATAAAATGTTATGATGACTAAATTGAAATAACCAGCTGATACCTGTGTTGTAGTTCCAAACGGCCGGGGTAAATTTACTAGGCGGTAACTCCATACTTAATAATATATTCAGCGCGTTATTTCTCTGGCACTTAATTCTAAGTAAACTGTAATTTAGTTGAAAGAGCAATCATTTTTAACGCCGATTGCCAATTACGGTGTTTAGTTTTAAATTGTAGGGTCGAAAGGATCCCTTAACAGTAACTAACACTCGACGCGACCGGCGAGGGGTTGAAGCCAATCTTTTCGGAGAGCTATTAAATTTTTCCCCGCGAGCCGCAATACGAAGTTAATCCCGAGTTGAAAGCTGTCACTAACCCCATAGTTATCAGCGCCGGTGCGGCTCGAGATGGAAAAAATGATAAACGCCGGATGGCGCGAATATGTGTCGGTCGCGTCGCGTCGCTCGTGACGGTTCAGTTCGAGGGCTCCCGGCTCCGGCAGTCGCTCCGGCAGCCGCTCCGGCAGTCGCTCCGGTCGCTGGATAATAAAGGAGTTGAGCTTTTATTACGAGTTGTTGTTTGGCCCGATATTGCTGTTGAATTTGAATTATGTCGTTAGTATTCTGTTCGCGGTCCGCCAGTTTATTTTGATGATTACGAATCTTTTGTTTTTGTTGTTTTTATATCTTAACATTTATAATAGGAAAAGTTGATATTGCAAACGTGTATTACTGTATAACATTGGCCATTGGCCGGTTGGCCGTACAATAAAGTTTAATTGAGCGTGTCAACAATATTTGAGCTTACGTGTCGTACAGTCCAACCCATAATTTGGGTGAGTTAGCAGCGTAATATGGGAACCAATGGCCCAATCAATAAAACATAGTCGGAGCTCGGGGCGGCGGACTAGAGCGATAAAAGTGTCGCGTGTCGGTGACAGCGCGCTGTTTATTTGGATTATTGGGTGCCGTCGCTCGAGTGGCCGCCGCCCGCGCCGCCCGCGCCTCCGACGAGCCACTATTGACGGCTATGGACGCGCGGCCGCTGCTCCATGGTCCACTCATTGTGCTGATCCCTTTACTATTTGTATTGAAAATACGTAATTGATTCGTTTAAGCTTATTTCAATGTGTGTACTGGACGGAAAATTGATGACTTGCCGATGTATTCTGCGACACTAAGCCGATAGCTAAAATTACTTATATTGATAATTGCCCTATAGTTACAAGACTGTTCGGTGTAACTACCTAGGTGAGGAAAGTTATGAAAATGTTACGCGTACGTCCATTTCTTACATAACCGAGTGCTGCCTATGGACTAATACAATACAAAGTCATTACTTGCTGAAAGGCTTGTCGATCAACCAAACTGATTGACTGTGTAAATGTCGTAACCACTGTGTAAATGCATAACATAGACGAAGGTAATAATTCCATAGTTAGTTACCTAGTTAGTAACTATTTAATGGCTGCGGCAGTTTTTCTTAATATTTTATTGCAATATCAGTTACTGAAAGCTGTTGTTCAATAATTATTTATTGTGTTCAGGCAGGCCATCACTCAAAATCTGAATACTTAATGTATGTACATGCGTTTATTGTTAAGCGTGGGAGGCAGGACATCAAACTGATTGGTATCGATACAGCATTAACGTTTGAGCGGTGTCGTGACACACTTCCAACTTCCAAGTAAACTTACAGCGCAATGAATGTGTCCAACAAATTACTATTATGTAAATGATCGTCTATCAACAATATCCCATTAAGTTTGAGTTAATACGCGATGAATATTCCTTCGGCAGTCGATAGCTACTTCGTACCTAATTCCTAAATACACTGAAGTCTTAGAAGCCCACGTCAACATCGTTGTATCGGTGCCAGCGATTTATAACGTGTTTATCTACATAAATATTAGGAGCTGAGTCAATAGTTGTGAAGGCTCGGCTTCTATAGACATACCTACCTGTATCAGAAATTGCAAAGGACTGACTATAATGCAGATGAATTAGGTACTTCTATGGAGTATTTGTACCTAATGCTGAGAAAATATTCGTAGAGTCGTGCACCTATAACATGATTAAGAAACGTCTGTCTCTACTGTATTCAAACGTAGCCTAGTCCTATAACAATGGCAGAAGTCATTGTCGTTATTTTGCTAACATTAGGTGCGAGAAAAGACTGCAGCTGTAGTTCCCATGTTCCCCGGGCGCCCGTTCACTCGCACTAGTCACACTACACTACCACTATCTGCACCAGTTAGCGCTAGTAACTGGCGCGAGTGCTCGCCGCTGTAATTACCCAGCTTTTTGTTCCGTGGCTTAGGCAAAACTAATCCGTAGACTAAGGTCCATTGTTAGTACTGAGGAGCGAGGACCACTGGAATCAATGAATGGGGCACACGCACACACACGCATGCATTCCTTTTGCACCACCTAACTAATGGTTCGGTGGTTCGATAAACACTTTTTGTACGACACAACATATAAAGCTGATTGAAGTACTTTATTTACATTGATTTAATTAAATAACTACCCAGTTGTTATTACCCACTTACCAGCTCTGATTAATTTCAATATGTATTAACTCAGTAAGTTATATGTTAAACGTATTCTCAAGTAGCATAATATATTTGTCTAATACGTACAGCTAGACACAACAAGACAAATTATTATTTGTTTATCTCAACCGGTTGAAATACTGGTATTTGAGTAAGTGCCATAAATTGCTTAATAACTCGTCTAAACGAGACGGGATTAGACAATGAGATAACATTAATTGGTGATTACGATGTCCCCAGTAGATTGTTGTATGATGATGATGTACAACATACGGGTGGACACGAAGTGAACAAACAATTAGAAATGCCTGCAGACAGCGGCGCATGTAGCGCGCACGGTGCGCTAAGTATAG